AACAGGAAAGAGAACATCAAAGTATCAGATGAGTTGGAAAATGCCTTGCTTTGGACAACAAAAACATGCTGTGTATGAAGTATGTGTGTCTCAATGCTCTGCAAAATCCTCGCCTTCCTGGTACAGCAGAGGTGGAAATGCTATGTTGGCTTTCTTGCTTTTACGTCCTGGGGATCCCTGTGAAGACAACACGCCCTGTTATGGAAGCCCTGCAATGGTGCTCATTTTCCCGTTAGAGGAGCCTTTTGGAGGGAGCTTGCAGTCATGGTACCCAGCGGCTTTCACAGGGCAGAGGAAAGCTTAGTGGAAAAGGGACTTTGCATGTCCAGGGCCATCTGAAGCTTGGATATAGCAGTTTTTATGTAGCATGTAGATGTGTCTGGTTAGTGTCTGAAGTATATATGATACTACTGAAGTACACAGGGAGATGGGTCATCCCTGCGGTAATATATATATATATATAGGGTATCTTGCGCTCTCCTCTTCCCAATTTAGTCTCTCCTCAGTCTCTCTGACTCCTGAAAGCATTGTAGGCAAAATAAATGACACTCACTAAGCTAGTAACTCAGCTGGAGTTGTTTCTCTTGGGCAGCTGGCAAGAACAGTTGTGAAGAGGTTGCAGTTCTCTAGGTCAGAGGTTTCTGGTGTGTGCTCTGCGCTTCCTAAGACAAAAAGCCTTGTTGAAGGTGAACTGAAAGAAGCAAACCTGGTAGAAGGCTTCAGTTCTGCTGAACGATGCTTCAGAAGTTTTGGAGCCAAGCTTTACATGCCTAGCTCCAATTTGCATGTTGTTTTAGACTTACCGAAGCTGACTTGTGTTGCCCTTTTGCTTGGAGTGAAACTGTCACCTCTGCGAGGTTCCCAGTTATGAAAGGCCTGGGTGTTGAAGGCATGTGCCTGCAGACCGGACTCAAGGTGAGGGGCCCTGTATCATCCTCTGGGAATCCAGACTTCCAGGTCAGTTCGCTCCTAGGCTTTGACAATTTCTTATTGGCACCATTTCTTGTGCATGTCTTGTGAATGCTGCTTTCTAATGCTGGCAGTGACGGTTCCTCGCTCTTCTGGGAGAAGTCTTATCTTTGTTAATGGGCTCCAGCCTGTTAAAGATAAGGCCTGCAAACCTGATCCT